GTCTTGAGTCACAGATTTAAACAAAGGAGACATTTGGTATTAGGTGTTTGATGAGCTTCTACTTTCCTGACAGCTTCTGGTGTTGGATACTGTGTCATTTTACCTACACAGTTTCCCTGGATACTCCTGGATCAGCTGTTTTTTGGTGGATTTTGTAGTGGCTGTCACAGCTTGGAAGCAGCAGCTCTAAGTGTCTGTGATTCCTCTGCAGTTGCTCTTTTCCTGGATGCTGAATGAGGGCTTAGGCACTCCAAAGCCCTTACAAAGTATACTCCAGAGCTGGGAAAGTCCGGAAAAGCATGAGCAGGACTGCTAAAGTGGTTTGCGGCTTCCATGGTTGCTTATCGCGCTTAACGTTACCTGTGTTGCATCTGAGGATACTTATTCTATGCACATAAAACTATTCTTTTCTCAGTAAAGAATACATGCCTGAGCAACCAGGAGCTTATTACCACAAAATAAGGGTAACAGTTCAAACAGTTGAGCTCTGGCTACAATCCGAGTACTAAATACTGCAGGTTAGCTTTGAGTCACTGGCCAGACTTGCAATTAGCAAAGAGGAGGATGCTCTGCCTACAGCCTGGAGGCCACTTGCTGCCAGCTAGGAGAATTTGCCCCAGCCTGCTCCTGGCAGTCTCCTTCCTGGAGGCCTTTGGGAATAGGCTCAGGACAGACCAGCCGTGGCAGCTCTCTTCTGGTCTCAGCTCTCCTGCAGAAAAGAAGTCGCTCCTTGTCACGTGAGCTATCTGTCCGATTGCACGGGATGAAAGGTTTATGGACCTTTGGGAAAAGAAGTTAGTCGGAAGCAATTGCTGAAGCCTGGCGCGCATGATCATTCCGGGCGGTTCCTAGCCCTGTCGGGAAGCAGTACACGTGCAGACCGCCCTGCGTACAAACCGTGTCAGAAAAAGCACTGTGGTCCTCTCCTGCCATGGAACAAAGATGTGTGGGCACCGCGGTGATTTACAATCACTAAGTCTGAAACGCTGCGGTGCTTTTCAGACCACACATCAGTGATCTCACAGGTGAGCGCAAAGTCAGTTCTGCACTTCAGTTGCTAGCATGAAGCCCAAAGGGAAATGTTCGTTACTCAAAGGAAATACAAAGAGATCATTTCAAAGGGATATTTTCTGAGCTCCGGGTGGTACTATCAAGAGTTGTACAAGGGAAGCAAATGAACCATAAGCCAAACTCTATTTTGTAAAATAGTGTACTTAAAGCATTTACTGTCATATACCAGTTATTACTAGTGTGATTAAATGCATACAATGTTATGTAGCTTGCTTTTGTTTCTCAGCAGCTAAACTAAGCTTCTATCTCTTCTACCTGCTATAACTGGTGTACTTGTACTGTGTCTGAACAACTCAGAGGAAAGCAAATATTTATTATTGATTCCTTTGAATCAATGATTTCATAATTATTTTTTTTTGTTTGGTTGTTTTATAAATAAATGTGCTGCAGCTGAAGTGCTGCAGCTCAACTAAACGTGTCCTAATGCTCCGTCTTCTGTGGTATGATGTGTTACAAGCTGTCAAGCTGAATCCAAGGAAAAAAAGTACGGAGTCAAAAATACCGGTTTTAAGCTAACAAGGACTATGTGTGTATTTGTGCAGAAAGTGCAGGGAAGCTGGTGTTTTTCCTGGGTATTTTTTCAGCCTAAATTGTGACATGGTACATGAAACCTTGGGTGTATTGAAGTAAATGAGTGTTTTGACTTCCATGCAGCTATTTCACCTGAGATATTTTGGCTGAGGATGTAGATGCTTCGAGCTAACATGGTAAATAGTGCCAGTGCAGACACAGCAGAGATACAAACCTCCAGCGACGTTGCCCTCCCACTCCTGCATCTGCAACCTGACTGCTGAACCACCCTGGTATGTTTTAGTTCATCTCCTGAACTGGGCGTGAGATGACAAGGAAACCTTGAACAACTAATTGCCGTGTTCAGACAGTTTAGATCTTCTCTGCAGATAAACATTTTGAAGTAGCTAACAGGAATCTCCAGTCAGGGAGATGTAGGTGGAATTTAGGGTAACTAAACACGACTCTGGTGGATTTCTCTTGCAGTGGTTCAGCCTTCTTTCCCCGGGGTGGGGGGTTGCGCAGAGGTCTCCCGACATCAGCAATCTACTGAAATCTGGGAGTAAAAATTGCAACATCAGTACGCAGTATTTAAAAAAAAACACAGTGACAACGCAGTGGTCTCATAGGTGTGTCCTGTCTCGCCCTGATGCATGAGGAAATGCTATTACTGACTCTCCTGAGTTGATGACATCCAAAATCCTGATTAGACGATACACGTTTTGAGAGGAGTTGTGCAATTGCATGCTTTTGTACAGTATCAGGAATCTGGGGTTATTTTTAACCTGGATCCGTCTGTACTGATAAACTGAAGGGGGAGAACATGATGGGAAAGGGAAGAACCGCCTTGGAAACGTGTGATTTTTCAGACTTCAACCGGGGCGTGCAGATGCGAGTGTTGTATAAATAACAAATGCTGCTGTTGTGAATAGGAAGCCTGTCTTTGATAATCCCTGCTCTTTTCCCAATTCCTTTTTAAATGCTTGAAGAAGCAGCAGTGCTTGATCTCTCTACTAAATTAGCTTCCAAAAATAATGTTGGAATTCATAATTTAAAAAAAAAAAACCACACAGAATACTTGTCAGTGTCCAGCCTGCTGGGCCTTAATTTTTCTGCTAGACAGTAAATGAGCTACTTTTGTCCAGTATCTTAACAGCCCTTAATTTCTAATGTAATGAGTCATTTGCCAAACTGCCCTCCTCCCTGCACTGACTCACTGTTGGTTTAGGCTGCCTTCGCTTGCTATCAGTCTGCTGTGCAAACTACTGTTGCACATCTAAATGTCACCATTTAATTTCAAGGAGCAGGTAGTGCTATTCTTAGGTCCTACTGAAATTCTGCCCCTGATTTAAAAAAAAAAAAAAAACAAAACAAAACCAGAAAAAAAGCAAAGGCAATCCTTTGCTAACAGCATGGCTCCCATGAGACTTGGTGCACTGTGTTTTCAGAGCAAGTTAGCACTGCACGCCTCCTGAGAAGCATCTCCCGTGCAGCCTGGGAGTTGAGGGCTC